ATTTCTCTCTATCTCTCTCTTTCTCCAAATTCATCATCCACTTCCTGTTCTTATTCTTCAATATTTTCGTCTTGTCATTTCTTATTGTGATTTTTTTTTCGGTCTTCTTCGTCGTCTTTTCCTTCTTTTTTATCATTGACGTCAATTTTCTTATTTCTATCTTTTCTTTCCTCTTCTTCATCGTCTACAACTTCTACTTCATTTCTCTCTTCTGATTTGCCTTCTTCTTCTTCCTCTTTTTTTTGTTCTACTCTTCTTCATATTCATTATCTTTTGGTTTAGTTCTCTTCATATTTTCCTTACTTTTTTTTAGTTTTTATTCGTCTTCTTCTCCAGTCTCCATTTTTAAGGCTTTTGTCTTCTTTTTCTGCCGCAAATTCTTCATCTTATTTTTCCTCATATTTTCCATTTTCTTTTTCACCATCTTTGACTTGTACTTTTTTTTCTTCATCTTTTTCTTCATAATTTCCTTTTTCTTCTTCATCGTCTTTGACTTGTACTTTTTTTTCTTCTTCCTCTTATATATATATATATATATATATATATATATATCTTTCGATTTTCTTATTCTTCACTCTTTTCTTTTATCTTCATCATTGTCTTTGACTTCTTCTTCATCATCTTTGTATTCTCTCAGTTCTTCTTATTTTTCAATTTTTATTAGCCTTCTTTATTCTCTATTTCTTATTCCTCTTTGGTCTTCTTCAAACTCTTCTTCTTCTGTTTTTTCTTCATCTCTTTCTCATCTTCATTTTCCTATTTCTTCTTCTTTTACTTTGTATTCTTCATCTTTCATATTTTTTTTCTTCCGGTTTTCTTCTTTAACTCCAACATCTTTTTTTCTTAACCTTAATCTTCTTCACTATTTCGTGTTCATCTGCTTCTTATTCTCCATGGTGTTATTTGAATTTGTCTTTTTCGAGTACTTATCATCAACTACGTCTTCTCCTTTATATTTATACTCTAATGTTATAAGAATTATAGGTGAATAAAAGTAAGAGCAATATATATGATTTATTAGGAAATCTATTTGTCCATCTTTTATAACAATAAATAACAATTATAAAATGGGTAAAAATAAGAACAATATATAAATTATTAATTAGCAAAAACTAATTAGAAATATGTTTAATTGTTTATTTTTATTGATGATTATTAAATTTAGAAAGTACATTAGAGAAAATAATTAAAATCCAAACACAGGGAAAAATCTAAGAAATTGTTAAAAATAAGATAAATAAGGAAAAAAAATCAAAGAAAATGCAAAGAATTGATGAAACTTATACTAAAAACATTGAATGGATCTCCAAACACGAAAGAAATTCATCATAGAACCTCTAAGTAACAAAGCAGTGTACATCATTTGAAGAGAGGAGCGGGAACCCATTGACTTGCCTCATAGAAAGCTTTGACATACTCGTATTTATTGTGAATTAAACCCTAAGCATAACATGCATCTTTGAAAGTAAGGTGAACAATACCATTAATTGTTCTTATATCTATATAAAAACATGGATCGCGAACAATATGCAATGAAACCCTCAAGTAGTATACTTCTCCAGCGTAGGGTTACAGTTGGCTATAATACTCGGTCTGGAGTTGCCGCAAAGACGGGGATGCCATTTGACGTTTTTACGATCCCAAACCTAATGGGTCAGAAATTCAGAATACATATACGATATGGCATCAGGATAGTCATAATTACACTTTCAACCAACCTGTAAATTTATTGTTGTAAACATTGGCAGAAAATTGTTCATCTTTTGAAAAAACAATTTGAGATGGAGGCAGATGATATGGCAAAATCCGAGGATCACAGAAGGGACGATTGCTAGTCGCTACCGAAAATTCATAAAAAAATTGAAGAAAAGAACTATTAGAAAATGGATTTACATAAGAAGAACATCTAGAAGCACAAAAAAAAATTTAGCACGAACTAAATAAAAAAAACATAAATTTTATTTATCTGAAGATTCTATTGTAAGGTGAGAGATAAAACATTCAGTCAACAAAGTATGAACTATAAAAAAATAGTAGGTTGTCATTACGAAAATGCATAAATAGTTGTATATATCAATTTAAAAAAAAACCTGGATGAATTTTTGAAAAAAATGCTAGATCTTAGAAAATAGACATAGTATGTAAGAAAACGTGAAGATTGAGATGAGTATATATGGCACGATGGATACGTTAGGGTTAAGTTAGTACCGATTTTGATATCGGTGGCCCATAACCAAAATCAGTGGCTAGGGGTGACTTCGAGATCGGTGACCCATAAAAAAAATCGCTGGCCTATATTAGAGAGAGAAAAAAATCATCTCACAGGTATTTATACGTAGATTAATAATCGACCTATCCGAACTAATTAAAATGCTATATAATTTTTTAATAATGACACGTATGACAATCGCTGTGGAGACTACACATTAGATTTTTGACTTCACAAATAATAGTATAGATTAGATTAAAAAAAACGATGATAAGAGTTAGTCATAATGCTTAGCTTGTAAATCGTCCCATTTTGGAATACGACCAAGACCGAGACCCCCAGAAAGAAGACAAAACTATGAACCAATTATACCATTATGAATCCTGTTTGTTTCTCATAATTTCTTCTCTGATTACAACTGGATGTGAATATTACGTCTTGAGGATTTCCAATTATACGTCCAGCTTGACTTGGAATTGTGCAAGTCTTCCTTTATGTATCGACCACATATTTATTCCATATAGACCCACCAGGATTAGGACTCACTTACCATCAGGATGGGAGTAGTCTTGTTTCGCATATCATTGTATTCCACATATTTAAAAATACGTTTTTTAAAAAAAATGTATTTAAATTTCTTGTGTATATAGTATGTATAAATTCCGCAACAATTTCTGCATGTATATATAAAGAAGCGTTGAAATCATAGCTTAAATTCTAGATATGGGTTAAAATTAGCGGAGGCATATGTGGTAAGATGGGGGCAATTGCCCCCTATAAAAAAATTTTGATTAGTATAAATTGTTAACAATAATAAGAATTGCCCCCATATTAATCAATTAATTTGCCCCCATTAAACTTTTTTGCTCCCAATGAAAACATTTACTGGCTCCGCCACTGGGTTAAATCTTCTAAAACAAATCCTGTTATTTCTTTAGTTTTCTGGTGATGGGATGCATAGATATTAGGAAGATTTTGTTTAATAATTTTAAAATTTCTTATAATTTGAAAAGTAATCCATGCTTTCAAAAATTTGAAAAATAATCTTTTTATTAACTAACACACATGTAGTATCCTTATAAACTTGGAATTACAGTAGCTATTTAATATAGCTGATGATGAAGTGTTCAGCTAGTCATCTTTAGCATGATTTAGAGATTAGTACGTTAATATTGTAATTAATAAAGTTTTTTATTATTAATTCATGTATCATTGTATTGTTACTTTCAAAAATCATGTGATTCAAGTCATTTACATTAATGCAATAAGACTTCTTCTTGGATGGCTTAAAACGTTATTATTTAATGTAAAAAAAAAACATAATTCTTTTATAAGAGTGTTTATTTGTTCAGTCTTGAATGTAGAGAAATTCATAATGTTCTCAACTATGTTGTGAGAGATTACAATAGTTCTAGAATTCACCAAATTTATAAAAATTATTAGGTTGTTGAAATTAAAATATATGGCAAGGTAAACGAGGAGCTAGATAAGAACCATGACTTCTTCACTTAACACAATCTTTTATACAAAACAAGGTGAAATCCATTGTTTCTTCGACGCCATTAAAAACTCAATATAACTTTATTCCAACGCTACACTAGACTTATTCAACGATTATTCACTAGAATGTGGAAACATTATCTACGATAATTTGGTAATTTTTAATTTAAAAAAAATTTCAAATTTTTGAAAACATGAGTTAGTTTTCAAAATACATTCAATTTAGGAAATATTATTACAAATTTTTCTCTAGATTATTATGTGTTTGGGTTGCTTTGGAACTATAACCCTCTTTATTTATAGAGAAACAATTTTTAATTCGGTTTTTCATCAAATTAAAAAGTTAGTAAATGTATCCACATATAAATATTTCATAGTACATATATTTTTATCATTAACTTTATTCCAAAGTGAAACCAGAATTGACTAACTAAAACAATAATTTTAACACATTAATTTATACATAATAACCTCAAGATAGATCTTACAGTTAAAGCCTAAGAAGAGTAAAAATAATTCATTATTTTCGTTAATTTTGCTTCATTTTATGCTAATGTGGTTATATATTCAGTTGTTGTAATTTGTAAGGATTTTTTTAAATGATTGTTTTTTCATTTACCTACATCTCGGGTTGAAAAACATTAATTGTAAAAAACCACGAAACAATCAGGAACAACCGAACAAAAACTTGAATTCACCACTCAATTTTGCATGCATAAATTATTTTCACTGGCAATAAAAGAGTGCATTCACCAGATTTTTTAATGAGTGTAAACCATAATACAATTTGGACTGGTTAAATAGAAATGAAAGTATTCTACTAATGAAAATCTAACCATATAGAAAGCGCACGCATGTAACTCACTTTTCTTTTGAAAAACCGATAGTAATTGTCAAACTGGCCGTCGAAAGCTAGTAGCATATGTACATTTTTCAGTAATATAATTTTGAAGGATTGTGAGATTAATGTGACACTAGCAGGGGCGGCCCTAAAACAATGGGGGCTCTAAACTGAAAAAAAAACGGAGGCTTCCACAGAGAACAGATCCTCATTCATATTTCCTATTATTTAAAATATCCAAAAAACAATCTAAAAACAAAACAAAAAAACATTATTGGTTTTAATATCATTTTATTACATAGCTATCTTTTTTTGTTTTTTCTTACATCTTGTACTTAAACTTTCCCCTTCATTAATCCCCACTTGAACTATCCTCAGCCATTAGTCAACTCTTTTTTGGGAGAACCGAAGGAAATTAAAGTACAAAATTATAAGAAATACAACTTAACAAAGGCCAAAAAGAAAACTTAAAGAAAGACTAATGAACTTGCTAAGTCAACGACTTTCCCTCTATACAATAGAAATCAGTTTCTTCTTCTTGTCTATGTCTCGTAACCACAAAAGTAAAACCATGGCAACAACACAGAAATTCTCTCCTTTCTTTTGCTTCTCTTGTCTCTTATGTCTCCTCTTCACCACTAACAAAACGGTGTCCGAATCCAAGCACATGGAAACTTTCTGCATCAAATCATCTGGAATCTTCACTCGCAACTCAACTTACCACACAAATCTCAACACTCTCCTCTCCACTCTTAGCAATCAATCATCGCTCGCTAACTATTACAACCTCACGACCGGTCAAGCTTCAGAGACAGTCCATGGTATGTTCTTATGCACAGGAGACGTCAACAGAACAACTTGCAACGCCTGCGTCAAGACCGCAACGATCGAGATCGCCAAAAACTGTTCTAACCATCGAGAAGCAATCATTTACTACTTCGATTGTATGGTTCGTTACTCAGATAAGTTCTTCCTCTCGACCTTAGAAACAGTTCATAATACCTCTTGGTGGTCTCTCGATCCAATACCCAAATCATTTGGAAAATTTAAACAGAGGTTGTCTGAAAAAATGGGAGAAGCTATCGTAAGATCTTCTATGTTGTCTTCGTCATTTACTCCATATTATCTTATGGATACGACTAGGTTTGAAAACTTGTATGATCTTGAGTCTATTGTTCAGTGTACTCCTTACTTGGATCCTAGAAATTGTACCGCATGTCTGAAACTTGCGTTGCAAGAAATCACCGACTGTTGTAGTGATCAGCTTTGGGCTATGATCTGGACTCCCAAATGTTTGGTGAGTTTTGATACCACAACTTCGTCGTTGCCGCCGCTTCCACCGCCGAATCGCAGCGGTTCCTTCTCGATTAGAGGTGAGTTACATACATATAGAGTAGATGATACGTGACTTTAGTTACATAAAAAGGGTTTTGATTTCAGATTCAGATTTTTCATATTCATATATTTAAATAATGAAACTAAATGGTTTAGAAAAAAATTGTTCAGGTTTTGGTTTAAATTTATCTTTAGGTTTGTTTCGGGTTGTTTGTTTTCGGTTGCGGATTATTTTGCCACCCCTAGTTTCTCACTACGATCCATCGTTTATTAAATTGTAGTAAACTTTTGGTTTTAAAACTTGTATTTCAGTTTATCACTTTTGAGTTTCAAATAATGAAATAAAATGTATCTATGACATTGACAACAAAGGACATTATAACTTCTACATTATTTCTTTCTTGTACTTTTTCAATTAGTATTATGACCAATGTTGTTTATTTTTTATTTTTACAGGAAATAATAATATAATTTGGGGAATGGTTCTTGCTGTGGGCATTTCGGTGTTTGCATTTTTGAATTTATGATAAGATTTGCAACTTGCATGTTCAAAGTTCAAGCTTAATAAGAATTATTTTGTTCAAAAAAACAAAATAAAATATTACTTTCGTTAATTTTGCTTCATGCTTATGTTTCTTTCATATTTTAATGTATTTTTTTTTGTCACACTACTTTTAATGTGGTTATTTTTTTAATTATTTGCTGTATTTTGAAATGGTTCTGTATATATATATATATATATATATATATATATATATATTCATTTGATTTGATGCAAGCATGTGGGCTGAAATTGTAAAACCACGAACACTTAAAGAACAACTAAACATGTACTGAATGTTTAGGAAACTCGACATCACCACTTTGCATGCATAATCACAATCGCAATAGTAAAATACTAACAATTATTCGAAACATGTGGAATAATATGGCGGAATCATCTTTTTTAAAAATGGCGGAATCATTGAAATAATTTTTCATTTACTCAAAAGCGACATGTATGCTCATGTTTTTTTGGACGGATAATAGAAGAAGTCCGATATTCAAAGCCACAAAATTAAATCTGGATAGATATACAGTTCGAATTCGAATATCCTGAATTTTATGATATAGGAACGATATTGATTAATGCATTGTATATGTTGGTTCTTAACGTCATTTTTAGTTTTTTTTTTAATTTGTAAATTCATTTATTTTGTTCGATCATATTGAATCTTGTGTTTGTGACTAATAAGTTTATAGTCAAGGTGAAGGTGTTAGAATCTCACATCTAAAGTTTAAAGGGATTATAGTATATAAGAGATTTTTGTCAATTCACTCATTGTCAAATGGCTTTGATTTAGAAACGCAAGAAACTTAACATGATATCAAAACATCGGTTCTAAAGTGGGATTCGGTTTGAGATTGACCGATAAAATTCATCATTTCGAGGGAATATGTTAGAATCTTACATCTGAAATTTAAAGGGACCAACACTAATATATAAAAGAGTTCAATCTATTCATTGTCAATTATTTTTTAGTTAGAGACCCATAAAACTTAAAAGAAAGGTTCTGGAGTGGAAACTAACACAGCTCAGTACATAATTAATATTACATGAACAAAGAAGAAAAAGTAGCACAAAAGAAAAAAGGAATACGAGAAATTAAGAGAAAAGGTGATTAAAGGAAAAATACTCATGTGGCCTAAAGGAATTAAGGTTGCTTCCTACTTGTATATATATAATTTCATCTTCTTTATTAAAAAAGAAGCATGTTTTATATCCAAACAACTTTTTTTTAGTTTTCTACTATTCTACTTTTGGATAACTTTTATTTATGTTATCAAACAAGTCAATTTAATGTAATATTAATAAAATAATATATTTTTAATTTTTATTTCAAAATAAATTTGAAAATTTAAATTTGAACTAGTGAACTTATCCACGCTTTATGTGGGCTGATATAATTTTCCATTTTATTATTTGAAAATCTAACAGTACTTTGAAGTTATTTGTTTTTTTTTTCTATTATTGAGTATATTTGTTTATTAATTTTTCTTACATTTTAATGTTAGAAGACATGATCGTGAAAACAGTATAGAAGAATGTAGATAAAAATATATTAGTATCCAAATAATTTAGTTTAAATATTTTAAAATATTTTGATCACTGTTCTATGTAATTAAGCATAGTTTTTTGAAGTACCGTACGAAATCATTTGAAGAAGAAAGAAGAGTTAAACAATTAGAAAGGCTGTGAGAGAATAAGAGAGAAAGCATGTACATATTTATACTAAAACATTTAAAGTCGAATACATTAATCTAGACATCACAAATACAACCATTCCATTAGACATTTTATTTATTAATTTTTAAATTTTTATTAATTTTTTACTAAATTTTGGTTTAATAAAATTTTAGAATGGTTTGATTTGACAGCGAAATAAAACATTAAACCACAATAATTTATAATAATTTTTTTAAAGTTATTTTTAACACATCATCAGATAAGAACCAATAAAAAATGACACATAATCAGTAAGTAAGGTAAAAATATCATTTTGCAGCTGAAACTCATTCTGGAGCTGACACGTAAGCGAAACATTGTGAAAATCGCTATGAGCGCGACAAGTAAGCAAATCACTACACAAATAAGTATATAAATTTAGATTTGTTATAGATTTCTTTAAATATAGATTATATTATTAATCAAAATTAGAAAATAAGTTATTATTATATTTTTACAATAATAATAAACTAGATATTAATTTAGATTTAATTTAAATATTCAAATTAAAATAATATTTTCAATGAAAAATATGAAAATGATATAGTATGAGTGGACAGGTTAGAATTATGTTTTAATAATTGTCATTTTCGGATTAATATAATGGACATGTTATAATGGCGTTTTCATAATCGTTGTACTTTTCGGATTAATATGAATGGACGGGTTAGACTAATATTTTTTTAATCGCGGTCATATATATACTAGAAAAAATAAATCAATAGAAACAAATTATATATAAACAAACAAATCTTTATCACTTATTAGAAAATTATATATAAACAAAAATAAAAACACAAATTATATTACAAAATTTGATAAATTAAAAATAGTTTCCGTGCGGATGCACGGAGTATAATCTAGTGTATATTATTCAAATAACGCCGACGAGAGCTCTTGAAATGATTTCTCTTTGCCTCTGTGGTCAAATATCTATTATATAAAGACTCAGTTGAGTCTCAACAGCTTGACACATAAGCACTCCATCTTTTGACACATAAGCACTCCATCTTTTGCCACATCAGCTTGACACATCAGCCAAATTAATTGATATTTTCAATATTTCTATTCTTAATTCTATTTCGATTTATTTCATTCCTTTTTTATTAATCAGAATATTAATTACAAATCGTTCCAACTTCACCATTCAAATATTTAATTCACATTACTTTATTGTATCTTTTCTAATAAACCATTCACCACCTCAAAACTCCTCTACCCTATAACCATGAAAAGGACGAATCCCCTACCGCCATCGCGTCTTCTCTGTCTTACCTTTGTTAACTCCTAAATATACGCACACAATAAAAAAGTTTTATTGCATATCAAAGATCATTACCGCAAAAACTGTACTAACCCCAATGATAAACCCTAGCTTTCACCTTCCCTTCTCTCTCCCTCAAAACCTCCCAAGTTTCTGCCGCAACGTCTCACAAATCTCCCCCTCCGTTTTTGTGATGCGTGATATAGAAGTGCAGTGGCATCCGCCATAGAATCCCTCATCTACAATTTATAGCTTTTTTTAACTGACGACTACGACCAGAAATCGTCTCATCCTTAAAACAAAATAAACTATGAATCTAATTGTCTCATCGTAGAGATTTTGATGGAGACCTTCACGGTTTTGAGTAGACATTACGTTAGAGCTGGATTACCTTCAGGGAGGTAATACATTACTTTAACTGAATGGAAGATTACATATGCGTTCCTAATAAAATTGTGTTTTGCATATTCGTTAGCATCCTCTCTAGAAAAAGAAGAGCAAACTTTTCAATGGCTTGAATGATAAATTCGAACCAGATGTTACAATTTACACTAATTTGGTTGTGGTGCCTAAAAATCTCCGAGACAGAGAGAGTGTTTTGTGGGATGGGGCATTGGAATAATGCTTACAAGTTCTTTACAGAAATGGTTGAAGATAATTGTTTGATACCGATCTTGTCTTTATCTGAGATGGTTTTGCTCCGTTAAGAAAAGCTGCACAATTGAAGACGCATGAAGAGTTAGTGGCGAATATGAAAGTTGCTGGAGATGTAAGTTGTCAAGATGAAGTAATGTTTGCTAAAGAAAGATGCTAGGGAGTCTAAAATAATTATTTTAAAATAGCATATTTATTTGATAGGATCACAAAATCTCCATGTTACTTGATAGAAATATGTATTCTTTTTTTTTTTTTTGGGCAACATCAAACCATCCATTAATTAAGCGGAAATCGAAGCAGAAACATATAAAGCCGATTTGGCTAGAGCGTCTGCAGAACTATTTAAACGTCTAGGAATGAACTTAAACGAAATGGCATTGAAGAAACAAGAGAGGGTGCAAATATCTTCCAGGACCCCATGGATCTCAGAAATCAAAGAGCAATTGTTGATAGCTCAAACGAGTTGTAAGGAATCGGACTCCACCGAAATTTTCCTTATATCTTCAGAGGCTGCTTGAGAGAGGGCTGTTCAAAGAGCCAGACTCTCTGCCATCAGCGGGGAGGAAACGTGATCCACTGAAAGGGAGAAAGATCGAGTGACTTCATTAGGGCGGGAGAGGAAAATCCATCCAAGTCCTGCTCTCTGAGATTCTCCCTTCCAAGCCGCATCGGTACGGCAGAGGATTGTGTCAAGAGGGAGCGGCAGTGAAGGCGACACCATTGGTCCAGGAACCTTGGTTTTAATCGCTTGAGTGTTTATCCATTCGGAAGCGTTTAAGACCGCTTTTTCTACCACTTCAGCCGCCGTGAACTCCTTTGCGCTAAAGAGTAGGTTGTTGCGTGCTGTCCAGATGTTCCAACAGAGCCACGGGACTAAAGAGCCCAACGGGAGGGTCACTGAGGGATAAGTGGTTGCCTTCAGGGCAGCAGTCCATCCTTCCTCAAAACCCATATTGCAGTGGAGCCATGTGTCAGTATTAATGGGGGCCTTAGTCCATACCTCCGCTGCAAACCTGCAATGGAATAGTAGGTGAGCTACCGATTCTGATTCGCCACATCTGCAGCATTGGTCACAGGCGCCTGCAATTCGAGAGGCAAGGCGTTCTCCCACTGGAAGAGCCCCGCTTGCAGCCCTCCATAAGAAGTTCTTGATCTTCGGAGCTGTATGAGTGGTCCAGATATGCAGAGTCCAGTTCAATATACCATGAAGAGAAGTTGGTTGGACAGGATCCAAAGCAGAGAAATATCCAGACTTGGTGGTATAGGTTCCCGATTTGTCCTTCCCCTATACCAGTCTATCTTTCGCATCCAAAATGCTTGGCTGCAATTCCAGGATCCGGTTCTCAAAGAGAGGGAAAATCCTGCGAATCTCAAGGAGGCGCCAGCATCTATTCTCATCAAGGAGATCGGCAACTTGAAGATTAAAATCCCTCTCCAAGCATGGTCCATACGGAATGATGGGACCAGACTCCTGGGGAATCCATGGATCTCTCCAGACCCTGATAGACTTGCCGTTTCCGACCTTCCAAGAAAGGTGATGTTTGAGAAGATCTCGGTCAACAAGGATGCTTTTCCAGCCATGAGAAGCATTACTAGGGCAAATACAGTCAAGGAATTCAGAATCATGGCAATATTTTCCAATGAGGATCCGAGAGAGCAGAGACTTTGGATTATTCAGAATGCGCCAACTCTGTTTTGCGAGGAGTGCATCGTTAAAACACGAGATATCGCGAAACCCCAAACCGCCATTGCGCTTATGTTGAGTAAGCTTTCCCCAAGAGATCCAGCACATTTTCCTCTTATCCACTTTGGCATCCCACCAGAATCTGGTCAACGCGGATTGGATTCTCTTGCACAGGGATCCTGGGAGCTTGAAGCAACTCATGGCATATGAAGGCATGGCAGAAAGGACGCTCTTCAGGAGTACTAGTTTTCCAGCTCCCGACAAGAATCTAGAGGACCAGCTAAGCGCCTTCTGTCGGATCTTATCAACGATGCTTGTGAACAAGTCTTTTTTCCGGCGGTTGAAGTGCTCCGGGAGTCCAAGATACTTGCCAACTCCACCCTCTTTTGCTATGTTCAGGGCTCTTTTAACACGGTCTCAGATAACCACAGGCGTTTTCCTCGAGAATGAAATGGAGGATTTATCGAAGTTGATAAGCTGGCCAGAGGCTTCACCGTATTTCTTGAGTATACAACCCAAGGTGTCTACATTTTCCTCACTGGTGTGGCAAAAGAAAACCGTGTCATCCGCGAAGAGGAGGTGATTAAGACGGGGGCTTCCCCTGGACGCACGAAGACCCTTAAGGGAACCCATAGCTTGAGCTTTGAGACAAAGGCCTGAAAGGACTTCACTGCATAAGATGAACAAATAAGGAGACAAGGGATCGCCCTGTCTTATCCCTCTTGAGGGTCGGATGCATCCCTTTGGTCCTTCGTTCAGTAGAACCGAGTATGTAACCGTGGAAACACATTGGAGCACCCACTTGATCCATCGCTGGTGAAACCCAAGGCGGGATAGAACCAGTCGGATAAATTCCCATTCAAGCCGATCATAAGCCTTGCTCATGTCGGTCTTCACCGCCATGGCACAATACTTTTTAGCATCAGAATTCTTCAAATAGTGGAGCATCTCGTGAGTTATTAAGACGTTATCTGAAATGGCCCGACCTGGGATGAAAGCGGACTGGTTTTCCGATATAATCTCAGATAGCACTGGTTGTAAGCGTCGGGCAAGCAACTTGGAGATGATTTTAAAGTATACATTACATAAAGCTATCGGTCGGTAATCAGACATCTTCCTAGGACCCGACACTTTGGGAATCAATCGAATGAATGTCTCGTTGCAGGATTTTGGCAGGACACCAGTACAAAAGAATTGTTGGATTTCACTTACAACTTCAGGGCCGACCGTGCTCCAATTGGAGTGGAAGAAACTTGCCGAGAATCCGTTCGGGCCCGGCGCCTTGTCCGCGTGGATAGAGAAGACGGATAATCGAATTTCCTCAGGTGTTGGGTCTGCCGTTAGTTGCGCATTAGTATCTTCCGATATCTTAGGTGAAAGCGCTTCATCCACGACAGCTTGCCTATTTTTATCCTCCGAGGAAAAGAGCTGTTGAAAATACGAAACCACCACCTCGAATTTCTGATTTTCCTTGAACTTAGGTATCCCTTCGTCATCCTCGATCACAGCAAAGCTGTTGATGGCCTTCCGGTTTTTGGTGACGGCATGGAAGTACCCGGTATTGCGATCCCCAAGGCTCAGCCAGAGGTTCCGGCTTCGTTGTTTCCAGAAAGCCTCCTCTTCCAAGTATGCGATCTTCAGTTGCGAGTTGAGGTGATCGATGAGGGGGCCATCGTTTGTCGGAGAAGTCATCGCAGTTTCCAGAAGAGATTTGATCTCCGAGATTTGTTTTTGGCTATTGAGATGGTGGGCCTTATTCCATTCCACCAGGGCCCATCGACATTTCGTGAGTCTGTGGGCCACCGAGCATGTTGGGCCCTGGGTCCAGGTATCTTTGATTAGGCCTGTTACTTCATCGTTCTTCTGCATTCGACGATCATATCGGAAAATACCTTTTCCTCTCTTTTTGGTGATGTCGAAATGAGAGACAATCGGGCGATGATCAGATCCCTCAAAACTCAGATAGTCACTTCGGGCATTTGGAAAAGCCTCGATCCAATCACTATTTGCCATGGCTCGGTCGAGGCGGCATCGGACCAAGTGCTCACCTCTAACACCTCTCCAAGATAGGCAGTCACCGGAGAACTTGAGGTCGTAAAGATCCCCTTCGGACATGAAGGATCTGAAGTCGATGAAAGTACCCTCAGCTCGGGTTGGGCCACCTGATTTCTCTGAGCAGTTGATGATGTCGTTGAAGTCGCCAGTTAAGAACCAGGGCGCATCACGAGCAACAGCCAAGGAAATGAAGGAGTCCCATGTTTCTTTCCTCTTGCTTCTGTCTGGATTACCATAGATAAATGTGACGAACATGATTTTGCCCTCCAGCAGTAATTTTGTGTCAATGAAATTGTCACACGATGAGATAACGGTGATGTCAGATCCCTGTGTCCAGAAGAGAGCTAACCCGCCGCCTCCAGTGCCGTGTGGGGGAACAAGATGATGATGATCATAACGCAGTGATTTTAGTTGATAGAAATATGTATTCAATGTAGAATTTTATGAGAAATAATCAGGCAAATAGTTTTTCTAATGAATTACATTTTGATTCTTAACTTGATGTTTATAATTTGTCCACAGTTAACAATATACATGGAATAATAATTCTTTTAAATTTTGGATCTGTGCGATAGGCTATCTGGGTGTAATTTGTAGTGAAGATGGTGAATTAAATTAAACTATTGTAGTATCTTACCTCTGAAGTCTGAACAATTGAAAGTAAACCAAAACGCAAAATATAATATATTATACATCACGTTTTTTTTTAATGTCACCAACAAACAAAAAAAAAACAATAAGAGTTCCATAATGTAAATTTATCCAATATTTTTATAGAAAATGTAAAAGAAACAATTCATCCATGTTAAGACTATTTATACAATTTGGTAAATTTTTATGTAGGATATATGTTCCGATGTTTATAGCCAAAAATAAAATACAACAAAGTGGTTGGTAAATAGAACAAACAAAACCAAGTACTTAATGATTTGAGTGCTGAATCATAAAATAACTAATATCAAACAAAATTAGATTAGTTTGCTTTAAGACAAACGAATTAGTAAAAAGTTTAATATCATCAAAAATATGGTATGTTTTTAATTTGATTATGTAACTCATGTTCATGTGATATTGATGTAGGTTAAATAATAACCAAATATCTGAAGAAAATATTTATTTTAACAAAGTTTTCAAATTTATATATTAGGATGATCAATTTCTTAGAAAGACTAATCAAATCACCAATTTATTAGATTACAAATATATATTCATAAACATATATATTTTATAAAAAAAAAACCCGCGTATCTACGAGGGTATTCATAGCATCTTAATGTTTGTCAGATGAATGTTTCGACCATCTAGGCTAAGCCAAAATTTGCCGGGAACATTAAGATGAAAATGTTTTGACTACCGAGGCAAAGACAAAAATTTTACATCTGAATTTGGGGACTTTTCAATACCTTGCACATTAATTTTGTTAGTATGCTAACTAAAATATGTTACATTCAAGTCCCATTCACGGTTGTTAGATAATGCTTGTAAGAACACCAAACATATATCATCTCAAGCATTTTTCATTAATAAATTGATCCAACCGGGCTTATTTACTTTCTTGTTTTGGATAAACAAAACATGGTTAATTAATGTGTAGAAGAAAATAAAGGTTTTGGTCAAAGATTTGAATATGCATAAAATAAAATTACCGCGATAACATCCTTTATAGCTTTCTGCTAAGAGTTTTACAGAAGATGAGAAGCTATTTATCGCTCTCTTAGAACCTGTGATCAAAAGAGAAACACATCATGATTCATACCAAACACTATATCGATTGATATTTTCTACTTTCACTTTCAATTTGCTTCATTCATTCCTTGCAACGCAACCAACCGGATCCGAAGAAAACAAATAATGCATAGAATCTCATGTTTTCTTTATTATAACTTTACAACTACCCAAGATGCATTTGTTCTAAGGACAATTGTTTTCGAAAGAGACGATTGTGAGATTACTTGTTAAAGCCTTAGAGGAGGAGGTGGTGGAAATCGACAGACGAGAAGGCCTGGTTTGGTCTGGTTTTGATGTATGCTTCAGTAACTCTGACGGTCTAACACTAGCTCTGCAATTAGTAGATACACAATGAACACTATAATTTCTTACAACTCTTAATTAAATTTTAGGATTCAAAAGTGAAAGTAACTAGAATATACACTCACTTTCCATTTTGTTCAGTCAACTCCATTGCATTGCTACTAATCGAGCCATTAGTTTCTGTTCCCATTACAAGATAACTGTTAGAGATATCACTCTAACAAATTTCAAAATCTGAATCGTCAAGGCCTAAAGTTTCAGTATCCAGAGGTATATCTATTATTGTGTTTACTCCCACCCGAAAATTTAGATGATGATCTACGTTCATCTGCTGAATCTAAAGTAGTTCTTCCGAGTGAACCAGATACTTGTCTTCGTCTTGGAGCATTTGGTGAAGCTCCTCCTAAAGAATGTCTTCTAGGAGAAGGAGACTCAAATCTTAGATTGCTTAAACCACGTTTTTGGATACCGTTTATGTTTTGAAACTTTTGAAGTTCTTCGTCTTTCCTGGCAATCATATCTTTCAAGTTTGATACCTGCATGCATTATCAAGATTCAAGGATTATGATATATATAAATATATTTCCATCGTTAAATAAAACTTGGAAGGAATTGAGTTGTGTGTAAATTTTAGAAAAAAAACTTTATGGACGTAACTTAGTAAGTAATTTTATAAAACAAACTTTTGATTTTATTATATTAGAAATTATTCACAGTGGCAGGAAATAGACTTAATTAACTCTTAGTCTCTCACTATTGGAGATAACTTGGAGATATATCTTGCTCTCCAAATTATCTCCAATACTCACATTGAACAAAACTACTATAAATTCGTGTGTTATATGTTAATTTTTACTTTTTTTTAATTACTTTTTTGAGGTCAGATTTGGAGTTTAAATCATATCAAGAATATTATAAGCACCTGCTCCATGAGTTGTTTAACATCTCGGCCCTCCTTATAGCTTCTCGCTGCACCTAACTCGACACCAGAAACTCTTTCCGCGAATTTCAATGTACTTACTGTTTCAGCATACGAATCTTCATCAGGATTTATCTGTACAAACATAAGAGTTTTCGCTTGCCCGCCTAGCAAAATGAAAACAAACAGTTACGAAACCAATTAACAAAATTCGGAAAAATCATCAAAGAGTGTATTATAGATAGTACCCAAAGAATTTTGGAGGACTTGTGTCAGCTTGCTGTTTCTGTAAGGTACATGAGGATTCTTATGTGCTAGAGCGAAAATAACATCTCCAAGAGCTGAAAGTGACTTGTTAATATGTTGAGCTTCCTTGAGTCTATCTCCCGTTACTTCAGAGCGATCGACTCTCTCACTTCCAGCAAGATCAACCAAATGCAAACTACCACGCAACGTAGAGTCAGTCTTGACATCAACACCGCGTACATGAACAGAAAGAACACTGCATGCAAAAAAAACACACACAAAAATGATCAAACAATGTGTTTGTTGTGAAATCGCTAGAAAATACAAAGAAGACTCGAAACCTTCTTAGGGTTTCTTTTCAGTGTCTGAAAGGTTTACAAACTTTGAGACCCATAATTACCCATTATAATACCCCAAAACACGATTCCTATTCGACTAAAAATGGTGATTCCTAATATTAATGTGTGTATAATGTTTAAAATCTTAGAAACCATATTTACAAACCATATTTATTCCTAATATTGGTTCAGTCTTACGAAATGGGTATTTAACCGTATATTCCGAGATTTTAGTCACTATAGAACAATATTTTTAGCTTTCTATATGCAATGTATATAAGTAGTAAGTTAATGGGAAAAAACACTTAAAATTTTATCCAAACCTGTGTGATCTACTGCTCTTTTCATTAAGAGCTGTGGCACCAACAGCTCTATTCGTCAAACCAATATTCATCAATTCAAGAACATCTTCAGTTGCTTTTACACAATGCATGCTTGCATCAGGAACTGCGAGGCCATTTGGTAAGGCCTTATTCCAAATCCCAAGTGTATGCAAGTTAAGGAAAATGTACATTTGTAACATTAAAAAACGATCAAATATTGAATACTATATTAGATTAGAGAAGGATATCTTCTAGTAGGACCATCATGAGAAAGCAGGTCACGAACTTGCTCATTGTAAATCTCAACCATTTGAACACCAACTTCATACATCACTGTGTTTTCACTACTTTGAGTTAAGTGAAACAAGTCATTTAAAGCTCGATAGTTTACACCCCAATCTTCTTCTGAATTTGTGCTTGGTCCGCTCTGTGTAAACAAAATGAAAAAATACAGAAAGTTTGACATAATCTCGAAAAGAACGAAACCAGATATTATGTTTCTTAATTACCATTGTATAAGTCTTTCCAGAACCCGTTTGACCGTAAGCAAATATGCACACATTATAGCCATCAAGGATGGAACGAATCAATGGTCGAGTATCTAAGAATACTTCCTCTGCATGATTAAGCAAGATTCAGTACGAGTCCTTAACTATATTTCCTTCATTGTATGAAAAAAAAGAAGCAAAAGAGGCTTAAACCTTGAGTTGATGTAGGGCCAAAGACTTTGTTGAATTTAAAGAACCGATGAGTGTCTTTGCCTTGCTTTAGGGGGTTTGCAATCACAAGCTCACCATTCTCACCTGTGTACTCTATTGATGTTTCTGTCTTGTTTTGCCCTTCAAGGAATGGTCTTATCCGGCAATAGACTCTAATATTTCCTTTATGCAAGCAACATAAAATACAAATTTTAAGATGGCATTATGGCAATAAGCAAACTTATCAGCCTAAAAATGCTTGAACAAATGAAGTAGAGTTAAGATTTTTTTGTTTTTATATATGAATCTTGTATCCAAATATAATATCCAGATTATGCAGCTTTCAGATTCAACATTTAGATGTTGTTCATCTTTTAAACTAGTTTTTGTATTGGATGAAATTTTGTTTGTACTAAAATTTAGTTTTTGGTTGCAATAATTTATTTTTGGAATATATATATATATATATATATATATGTGAATTTAAAAATACATAAGTTTTTTAGAATAAAATCTAGAACCGTAACAATATTTTGAGTTTTCAACCTAAAAATCACGGTTTCAGGATTTGGCAATATGGTGCCAAAATTAGATTCCAATAATTTGATGTCAAAACCTGATTCAAATTCAAAATGTAGATGTCAAAACACGATTCTGTAATTAATACCTTTTAGTTCTTGCACTTCATTGTAAAGCCTTCGATTCTCTTCAACAATTACGTCGTAATTTTTTGCTGCATGAACCACTCCTCTGAGCTTTAAACCTAAGAGGTAAATTAAAATTACAAATAAAAAACACTGAAGCCAAAAATTAAGAAACATAAAAAAGAACAGAAAAATCGATCTTACCGTAGTAATTTAGATCTTGTATGTAGTTTTCTTCTGTCTTTAGGACTTCATGTTTTAGAGACATTGACGTAGCTTTCAACTCCTACATAACTTGATGATTGTTAAAGAATTACAAGAACTAGTTTTATTTTGGTCAACCGAACCGATAAATTACACAAGTCAATCATATTTACAAAACTAGCAAAAAAAGTGAATCAACCTGCAAAGCCTCTGACTGGTGGTATATAAAACTCTTGTATGTTTGCTCTTTCTTCTCCCATCTTTTAGTTTTAGTTTCACATAACTTTTCGAGTTCTTTGACTTTTTCGGTTGACCCTACTACACGTAACTCTGAATCCTCTAATTGCTTCTCCAACTCAGTCTTAGCTTTCCGAGCATTCGATTCTAGTTCCAACATTTCTTTTTCATGTGTCTCTTTCACAATTTCAAGTTCTTGCTTTAACTTAGAAAGCTCAGCATCACTGAGCTGTTTTTCCTTTTTCAGTTGCATCACATCGTTTTCTTCGGATCTTAGCTATAAAGCACAACATAGCAAAACAATCAATAATTCATTTTAACAAAAATGGATTTTGTTTTTAAGTTAATATTTTTTGTTAATACCTCATTCTCATCTGTTATCCCAGATGCTAAGGTTTCTAATACATTTATTCTTGATCTATATTTTTCTTCGCGTACCCTAAAGAGTATATTTTGCTGCACCAAAGCACATATGCTATGATTGTGTCAAGGAGTATATGATACTGTAAAGGAATAAGAATAAAAGATTAAGTGAATCTTACATTCTTTAGATTTTCAGCTTGATTCGAGATCCGTTGTTCCACTACTTGCACAATCCCTCTCAAGATAGATGCAAAGGTCTAAAAAAAGAGCATCCAAAAAAAACATGAAAATTGAGAAAAAAAAACAATTTTCATGAACTAATTACAATGCAAAATCCTTACATGAGACACATCCACATTCATCTTCTGCACGCTCTCGTATAGAAGCTTATCGAGCATATCGAACAATGATCGAGTAGAAGTATTCTACCAAGCGAAAGGAAAACAAAATCTGAATTATAAGTTATCGCTGAGGGTTTAAGGTTTTTAAGGAAATGAAATATGAATTAGCTAAGCTGAAACAAAATTAACAAAAATGGTGAATGAACATTTTACTTGTAAACTGTTTGATTTTAGTAAGTCCAAAATTTTGGCATGAGATATACTGATCTGATCAGAGCCTTCCTTAAACTGTAATCCATCATTAAAGTTGCTATCAAGTCCCTTTGAATGATCCTCAGGCAAGCTCCATCTTCTCATTGCACAAAGTGTATTCTTACCATATCCATCATTAGAGAAACTAGATTTAAGCGCCTTAAGAGACTGTAAAACTGGAATCATATCCCCCTGCATCGATAGTCATAAAAATTTCTTAAATTTATCCAAAGTCATTATCTAAAACTCATCAAACATGATAGTTCAAACTCTTGAATAGAAACAAAGCATTTTATCAATGAAAATAGCTCAAACCTGTTCTAAATCTGAAACCTCAAATCTAGGCAAGGCCATTTCATCCATAGCTGTCAAAAATCTCTCTATGTTCAGAGAAGCAAGCTCAAAACTACCTCCCTGTAGGAATAACACAAAAGAGCGAATCAAGCGGAAAAGGACTAATGTAAATAAAAAAGCACACAACAAAGGAAATAAACGAAAAACAAACATATTTATACGCGAAAAAAATATCCAATAGGTTTACAAAAAATCAAGTACCATTTTCATTGAACCGGGACTAAGCTGATTCAAGAGATTGCAAAAGACAGTACCATCCATCAAACATGCTCTCAGTTCTTCCTCTGAAGCTTCCCATGGTAAATTTAAATAAGGAAGTGTCTCATTCAACCACTCTACCAAACTCTGATGACCTACAAGCCAAATTAAAAGTGAGAAGAGACTAATAATACATAATTTTAAAAAATCAAAGAAGATATATAGTTAAAAAAATCGTTGCCTTGTTTAGTATCATCTATACTTTGACGACTTTCTGATCCATCAAAACTGAGAATGCTGCTTGATTTATCTGATCGACCATAAACAGTACTAATTGTGCTGGATCCTTCTTTGGTTCGGTTGTTCATTTCTAGACCTATAAAATAAAAACCCAATATGTGCATCTTTTCATGAGCATAACCAGACTTTCTTACAAGAAACATACAAAATTCATACCAAATTGACCTCTAATAAGATCACTCATTCGTTCCAGTTGTTTTTTTTTTAACCTTTTTTGTTTCACAAAGGATGATATAGTAAGAATTCTTTTCACACAATATTACATTTGAATGACCTAACGTACCATTTCAATTCGTTTAATATTCTTGAACACTGCATAATTATAACTATTATCTAAAGTTCTAAAAATTAACTAGCTGTTATATATACGTATATATATATATATGAAAATATACTTGCATGGAAATTTACAAAACATCAATCTATATGAAACAAACAAACAAAAAAAACCTAAAACATCAATGTTGTGAAATAGATGAAAATAATATTCTGAAAGAAAAAAATCATTTGCATCAAAGAATTAATCTTAATGCTGAGCAAATCAACCCATAAAAGTAACTAAAATTTATAAATACGTTACCCAAAGATTTCGCAGACAAACAACACCCAAGGCACAGGAATGATATATCTCGAAGAAAGCCAGCTCTAGATTATCAGTACGGCGAAAACAGGAGGTTTACGGATGTTCCTTTGCCGGAAAAGAATTCAAAATTTTCAGTTTTTCTCTCTTTTGGCTATAAAAAGAAAAGGGAAAGAAAAGCTAATTAAAAAAAAGTAAAAGAAAAAGAAAAGAAAAGAAATCCTAATTACGGGGTAAACTTATTGGTTCCTATTATTTTTATATTCAGACACAAAAAATTACGGGAAACTTAAAAGAATAAATGAAAATTATGTTTTACGTTTGAGTTTCCTTTACGCAAATATGGTTATTTGTGGGGCCAACCAACGGTAATCTACAAAGACATTCTCGCCGTGTGGATCCTGTTCTGGCATTGCTTTTGATTTTGCCAATTTTAAAATAAGAATAACTGAAAGGCTAAATTGTGCATGAAAGAAGAGAGTTATCAGAAAGAAAGAAAAAATAGAACAAGATAGTAAATTATCGAAAATAGACCAAGAAATGAAACTATACGTTTATGGGCTAACGGCCCATCGATTTTTCAATATAAATTTAAACAATCACATAAATTATTGGCACTTTACTATAGTTTATACATAACAACAAGAACACTCTAACAACATCTACATGTCTGACAGCTATTAGCTTTCAGAACCTGAATCAATTTGCAGTGAATATATTCTCTAATGCAAGAATGGACACATCTAAAAGTTACTCATATTATCACAGATCGGTAATGGAATGGCAATTGGAACAGATAAAAATATAAAAAGTTGACTTGGACATAGGAATTAAACATGTTTCAGTCCAAAACCTCTTGGTTATCAAAATTTTAAAAAAATTAAGAGATCTACAAGTATTATTATAGTAACACAAGAAACAGTCCCTTACTTTACTATTTGTTGTTTCTTTTTTTTTTTTTAATAGTAAGAGAAAATAGTTATTTTTATCACAACGTATTTACATCTAACTCGTCTATTTACATAATAATACTGTTAATTACATTTTTTAGTTACGTTTGATCATAATGGATTTACATTTTGAAGACGAGAAACTGTTAGTTTTACATTGATTTAATTTCATTCACCACTTGATGTAAAAGTTCAGAAATATTGTTAGTTGTTTTTCAGTGAATCCGTAGCATTAATTTATAAATTCTTAAGATTTTTTATTTTTATTTTGTTTTAATATATTTTTGTTTGTTCATGCGTGGCGCCATGCTGATCATCCATAGATCGTGCAAAAGAGTGGTGGAGTAAAATAGTGCTAGAAATATGATTTATTAAATGTTGGAAAAGTAAGGAATGTGCTTTCGCATTAATTACGACGTATAATAATAGCCTTGACATAAATAAGAAAACATAATTCAGAATTCTTTTAGTACCAAGCACGTGGCGAATAGTGCGACGCAAATCAATTTGCCTAAAGAACAAACCAAAACTCGTCTTCATATTAATCTGATTGTTCGAAAAAAAAAGACTCAAGGTAATTGTATGGAAGATAATTCCTCAGTTAAAGAAGTAAATGTCGATAAAAAAACACGCAGTACATTTTATCCCGTACATCCCTACGAGACATTTATATTTTTAATTAATTTTGTAATTTAATTTATTTTTTTATAGACATAATATTTTTCTAATAAGTAACACATATTTATTTTTATATTTATATAATTTATTTTTAGTTATACTAGTATTCTATAATATTATTTATGAAATTTAAGATGTTTTAGATAAAAGTATGAACATTAATAAATTAATTTCTTAAACAAAACATAATTTGATTAGTTAAACACTTAAGCCCAAAGAATTAAAACTATCAAATAATAGTAAAATCTGTATAAAATTGTGTAACCACTTTAAAATAATATAAATTAACTTTTTTAAACATCTTACATTATGGAAATATCTTACTTTTATTTATAAAAGGAAAATAAACTCAAAGGCTATTCACGAGTGACGAGACTCACAAGGTACAACCATGTGTATATAAATATATATATATATATATATTTACGTTTAACGCGGACGTGTTTGAGTACGTTTACGTGAGGGACAACGTTAAATAAATGAGACAATGACATGCACTATGACAATATCTTCATGCATACAAAAACGTGAGAAATTACGTTGATAAGGGCCGTTGATGAGTAATGCAAAAGGTCTCAGATACAACTACTTTTTCCATTCGAAGAGAAATTAATTCAGTTTTGAGAAATAATTAAATTTCTTAATAAAAACCGTGTCGAGAAACTAATCCAAACACTTTACAACGACCAAAATGTTCAATTTGGTTCATTTTCTTGTATAACAGCCAAAATCATATCATCCCAAACAAAATCAAAATAAAGAAGTAAGTAAGTGTATTTAATCAAATACTTTAGATCATTAAGTTTTAATAAACTTTTAGATGACTGTAGGTGAATTTTGGAAGCTGTGTGATTTGTTATTAAAATGTTTGAATTTTGTTTTGTTAGTTATAAACGATATATGATTTTGAACGCTAGTGAGTCTCTGTCCAAAAAAAAAAAGGAAGTGACAGAATGGTGATAATATGATATACTGTCACAAACTACTAAACCATATGATCTGACCATATCTTAGAAATGCAAGTTAAAACCATAAGATTAGGATATTTGTAGCTTTATCTAAAATTCTTTTTTGAAACACCTTAAAATCATAACATATGGCTTAATAGTTTGTGACAGTATATTTTTTATACATTTTCATCTTTTAGAAATATATATGTACTGCATATTTTTGTGGTTCTAGTAGTGTGGCTTAGTAGTTTGTGATAGTACTGCGTGCACGCGTACCTTCCTAAGTCCCAACTTCGAAGCTTTTTGGTAACCTTTTGTGGTTCTTTGTCCTTTTGTTCGCTCATGCTTCTTGTTCTCCGCTTGGAAGAGGATTTATTGGATCCGGTTTTGTTAAGCAATTGTCACAAATTCTCTTTTATATATGAAGATTTATTTACTCTCAAATTATTCTTTTATGCAGAGATCTTTACCATCACTTTTTTTCCTCTATCTAGGGTTTCATCCTTCCATATTTTTCATTTAAGGAAAGTTCATTACTATCAATATGGAGATATCTTATTTTCATCAAATTCCTTTGTTGTGGAGTATTTATTTCTATCAATTTCTTCAGTGTGGAGAAACATATTAGTATGGATATACTAAATAAGAACATATTAGTATAATTTTAAAAATATTTATTAGTAGAATATTTTTCAAGAAAACTTATATGTTGACCAAAAAATAATATATATATATATATATATATATATGTCAAAATGACATTTTGAACAAATGGAGGACCAATTAAATTTTGATCTAAGTGAATTATTTTAAATAACCAATTAATGTTTAAATAACAGAAGAATTATCATTTTGACAAAGAAAAAAAATAGTTTTTGAATAAATACACCATAAAACCGAGTATATAAAAAAGAGAAAATAGATTAAACTATCTACCATTTAAATAATCTAAAATAAACCAATCGTACTTGATTATATTTTAACACAAATCTTATATGTATTTCAGAAACTGAAATATTCAAAAATTAAAAATTTCAAATCCAGATTTGAACTTTCTTTAACATCCTTATAAAAAATAATTGAAAATATGTTATTAATTTCAAAGGATTTTTTTTTTTAAAATGTATCCTCAAACTAGTTTGATTGTCTTACTTATACATCGAATGTGTTACAATTAGTGTAAATTTTATGAAAAAAAATATATTGAAATTGGCTCGAGCTGACAATGTAGTTAATGCTAATTAAAGTGGACCATGAAAACAGTGGACTATTACATCGATTTTATTAATAGGGGAATCTCAATGAGCATGAGTTTATTTTTATATGCCTTCCTCTCGATTCTTTTATTTATTTATTTGGGGTGGTTAAGTTTTTTGCTCTCGATATTGCTTCTTTTTAATACTCTCTAGCATCATTGTTTGAGTTAATTGGATTGATAACAATAGAAGACATGAAAATTATGTATCTCTATGTTAAATGAATATAGTCTAATTAAAATAAAGCTATGTAAGAAGCAGGATAGAACGAAAGAAGATACAGGCTTAATAAAAAAAAAATATTCTCTCTGTTTTGAATTAATTGATGTTTTAGGTGATTTTTTATTTATTTTTAAATAAGTGAGATTCTCACAAATTTATGTAAAAATTAACATAAAATAACTTTATTTGCCCTTATTTATTGATATAATTTCTAGTCAAAGAGTTCCAAATTCAATTAAAGAATATTAGAAATAGTATTATACAAGATTTCTCAACTTGTGTGCACAATGTTCAAACATCATCGAGGAAGTATAACATAATATATACATGCTTAATATAATGTAATTAAAGAGTAATATTATACTGTAATAAATATAATATAATCATTATCATGGAGACACAACAAGTATTAATGACAACTTTGGGAAATGATAATTTTTGTTATAAT